GCCAAAGCAGAAGAGACTCTTAAAAACGGAGAGTAAACTGAGGGTTGATGGGGGGTGGGAGGGAGGGGAGGGTGGGTGAGGGGTATTGAGGAGGGCATCTTTTGGGATGAGCACTGGGTGTTGTATGGAAACCAATTTGACAATAAATTTCATATTTAAAAAAAGAAAAAGAAAAAAACCATGGTGCTGAGCAGAAGGAGTCTGTCGTAAAAGCCACCACGTGTATGACTCCATTTGTACGAATGTTCAGAAAAGGCAAATCAAGAGAGACAGAAAGTAGATCTGTGGTTGCCCAAGGCGAGGTGGGCTGGGGAGGCTGGATGTGACAGCTAAAGGGTTTGGGGTTTCTTTTTGGATTAGAGAAAATATTCCACAATCGATTATGGCCACAGATACACAACTCCAAATACACGAAGAGCCGTTGGCTTGTACATTCTGGTGAATCGTATGGTGTGTGCATCATGTTTCAATAAAGCTGTTTAAGGGGCACCCGGGTGGCTCAGTAGGTTAAGCATCCGACTCTTGATTTCAGCTCAGGTCATGATCTCAAGGTTCGTGAGTTCAAGCCCCGAGTCGGGCTCTGTGCTTACGGCATAGAACCGGTTTAGGATTCTCATTCATTCTCTCTCTCTCTCTCTCTCTCTCTCTTTCTCTCTCTCTCTCTCCTCTCCCCGCCTCCCCACTCACATTCTCTTTCTCTCTCAAAATAAATAAATAAACTTTAAAAAAAAAAGCTGTTTAAGATCTTCGGAAAAACATAGCATCGCTACTTCTCACTTGAACAAAGTCCTCAGGTTGACCACTCTGCAGACTCTTTCGGCGATTTCCCAGGCGATCCGCTCCATGAGCGGGATCATCCTTTCATCTTTATTGTAGTGTCGGGAGATGATCCACACCATCCTCAGGGCACTCATCATGGATGGGATGGTCTCCAGGACGACGTGAAAGCTAGATCCGTGCGTGATGTTCTAATCGGAGAGAGCAAGCAATCTTAGCCTTGGGGTCCGAGTAGTTTGATAAAGCGGCGCATGCGCGGGAAGTTTCACTCTTCCTAATTCAAAAAGTGTATTTAGTGCGGGAGGAAGCGTTTCACCACCGAAAGGAGTCTGAAATAGGTCTGTGCACACTGACATGGAAAGACAGATAAGATTTACAATTAAAGTAAATAAAGCCATTTGAAGCAGTGTATAAAGTAGGAGTGTGTATATACATAAATAGATACGTAGAGAGCGAGAAAAGTAAATATAGAGAAAAAGAATATATATATGTATAGCTATTGAGTACACACACACACACCCAGTACATATTCTGTGTGGCAGATTGTATTTTCCAAACGCAGCCACAACATCTTGACTGTGTCCCCCTCGCCATTAAGAGACCGAGTCATCTCCACCCCCTCGAGTCTGCACAGGCTGTTACTTCTTTAGTCAGTAGAATATGGCGGCCGTAATGTTGCTTCTGGTCTCTTGGAAGCCAGCCACCATGTAAACAGTATGACCATCCCGGGGACTGGGTGGCTCAGTCACATAAGCATCAGAACACTTACTTCAGTTCAAGTCACGATCTCGCAGTTGTGAGACTGAGCTCCGAGTCAGGCTCCACACCGAGCGTGGAGCCTGCTTGGGATTCTCCCTCTCCCTCCCTCTCTCTCTCTCTCTCTCAAAATAAAGAGGCATTAGGGGCGCCTGGGTGGCTCAGTCGGTTAAGCGTCTGACTTTGGCTCAGTTCATGATCTCACAGTTCCTGAGTTCGAGCCCTGCATCAGGCTCTCTGCTGCCAGCACGGAGCCTCTGTCCCCCCTCTCTCTGCCCTGCCCCTGCTGATTCTCTCCTTCTCCCTCTCTCCCTCGCTCTCTCAAAAATAAATAAACTCTTTAAAATTTTTTTAAAAAAGCAAGCGTGGCCACCCTATTACCCTGAAGCCACCAGGCTTTGAGACATCCAAACCACGTAGAGAAATACTAGGGACTTAGATACCACATGTAGAAAAAAGGCCCAGGAGCACCCAGACGCCAGATGTGTGGGCAAAGAAGCCACGTGGAAGGGGTCCCGCAGCCCAGCCACCCCAGCTGTTGTACATGAGCCAAGAGGAACCGCCCAGCTAAGCTTTCCCCAAACTCCTGACCCACAAAATGGGAAGACAAAGAACACAATTGTCATTAAGAAAATGAAAACGCACACAGAATGGAATATTGCTAAGCATGTATCTGATAAGGAACTTGTATTCAAAAATGTTTAACTCATAAATCAATAATGAGGCAAATTAAAAATGGGGAAAAGATTACAGCAGATGTTTCACCAAAGATACGCGAACGGCCTAAGAAGCAGAGTGAAAGGTGTTCAACCTCATCAGTCACTAGGGAATGTAAACCAAAGTCGTGGCGAGACGGCACAAAAGATGTACGATGCCACGTGTATAAAATACCAAGAACGGACAAATTCATAGACAGAAAGTGGGATAGAGGTTACCAGAGGGGCAGGGAGGAGGGAATCGGTGCTCAAGGGGTCCAAGTTTATGTCGGGGATGATGAAAATGGCTTGCTTATGGATAATGAGGATGGGCACCCAGCACCGTGTACGTTTTTTTTTTTTAATGTTTATTTATTTTTGAGAGACAGAGAAAGCATGTGAGCAGAGAAGGGCAGAGACAGGGAGACACAGAATCTGAAGCAGGCTCTAGGCTCTGAGCTGTCAGCACAGAGCCCGACACGGAGCTCGAACTCACAAACCATGAGATGACCTGAGCTGAAGTCGGACGCTTAACTGACTGAGCCACGCAGGCGCCCCTCGTGTATGTACTTAATGCCACTGAACTATATACTTGCAAGTAGTTAAAATAATGAATGTTATATGTTTGTGACCACAATTTTTTAAGTGCTGAATTAAACAAGGAAACTAGTGGTGCCTGGGTGGCTCAGTCGGTTGAGCGTCCAACTTCGGCTCAGGTCATGATCTCACGGTTCATGGGTTCGAGCCCCGCATCAGGCTCTGTGCTGACGCCTGCTCAGAGCCCGGAGCCTGCTTCAGACTCTGTGTCTCCTTCCCTCTCTGCCCCTCCCCCGCTCACGCTTTGTCTCACTCTATTTCTCAAAAATAAATACACGTAAATTTAAAAAAATTTTTTAAATAAACAAGGAAACTAAATCCGCGTGAGTGCTAATTTACAGACCCGACTTTCCAAAGCGCAGCACGCCCGGCCTACCTTGAAATGACGTTCCACAGTGGACAGAAACCGCACGTTGTCTGAGGCCTCCATGTGGAGCTTGAATAATTCAGTTAAGACTGGCTGCAGGTTGGCCACAAGCATAGAATCTGATTCCTTGATCACATCCAAGACCTTCCTGACTATTGGAAGCTTTGTTTGCTCATGGAGTGCACTTAGGGTTGCATTTCTTTCCCGCCAGAATTCAATTTCGGCCAGAGGACCGTTACCCTGCAAGGTGACGCGAACACACAAACCGTCATCGCTCGTGCGGAAGGCACACTTGTGGTGGTTTCTACAGAACCCCTCCCTCTCTTCCCAGCTGCTCCAAACGGGAACTGAGCCCTGCACTTGACCTCAGATGGTCCAGTCAGAGTGAATGTCAGGACTCTGGCTAAGAAAGCCAAGCCACTCTCTTTCTCTGGAGAACTGATGGGGCAATGTACCACGCCACGAAGGAAACCAGCCTGAGGAGGAAGCCTCCAGACGAGCATCCTGACACACAGTATGACCTCTGTCAGCCCACGGGGTAATGTGGCTGCACGCTAACAGCAGAAAGCCCAGGAACGATGGTGTGGGGATTTTGAACTTTTTATTAAATTTTTTTTAATGTTTCTTTATTTCTGAGACAGAGACAGAGCATGAGTGAGGGAAGGGCAGGGAGAGAGGGAGACCCAGAATCCGAAGCGGGCTCCAGGCTCTGAGCTGTCAGAACAGAGCCCGACGCAGGGCTCCAACTCACAAACCGTGAGATCGTGACCTGAGCCGAAGTCGGACACTCAACCGACTGAGCCACCCGGGCGCCCCTTTTTTTTGTTTGTTTTTTTAATTTATTTTTTTGCTTTGAACTTTCAAGGAGGCGACAAAAGAGTAAGAAAAGAGGCTGGGTCAGACAGATCCCCAGACTCCTGGCTCTTCCTCCGGTGGCCACGTGAACGGTCAGGGAATCTTCAAAAGTGCAGCCTGAGTTACCTGAGGGGTCTTCTTCAGCTGGCCCTCCACAGCTGCGGATATCAGATTCAGCCAGTTTATCACACACTGCTCTAAGGTTTCAACGGCTTCCGGGTCAGCTGCCAGGTCAGACACCTCTCTGTCCACACTGATGCTTGGCATTTCCAACTTAATCTCCCCTGGTAGGATAACAATGGTCAGTTAGTCACCAGTTCGGGGGAAATGATTACAGACAGTAACGTTCAAGTGAGTCAGATGGCTCTTCTCTCCAGACATCAGTACAGTGAGATCCGATTCGTCCCCTCTAACCCCCACCCCATCCTAATCCGTCTAGACTTTCATTCTCTTCCATCAGAATGTAACTAAGCATTATAGATAATTTTAACAGTGTTAAGCTTGGTCAGAATGATCTAGTTATTTAAGATGTTGCTGAATTTACAACCTAGTAACTTCAATTTAAAAATTAAGGGGTGCCTGGCTGGCTCCGTTAGAAGAGCGTGTGACTCTTGATCTCGGGGTCGGGAGCTTGAGCCCTGCCTTGGGTGTAGAGATTACTTAAAAAAATAAAATCTTCAGGGGCGCCTGGATGGCATCTGACATCAGCTCAGGTCATGATCTCGCAGTTCGTGGGTTCGAGTCCTGCGTCGGGCTCCGTGCTGACAGCTCAGAGCCTGGAGCTTGCTTCACATTCTGTGTCTCCCTCTCTCTCTGCCCCTCCCCCATATGTGCTCTGTCTCTCACTCTCACTCTCTCTCACACTCGAAAATATATAAACATTAAAAAAATTTAGGAAAAAATAAAATCTTAAAAAAATATAAATAAAAAAAATTAAACTAACAACCAGATATTTGAGAAAACCTCCAGCAGGGAATAGGCCCAGATAAATCAGAAACAATGACCTCAGAGGAGATTAAGACAATGTAAAGGAGAATTTGTTTTTAATCCCAATTATCAGTCTCAGAGATGTGAGGCAATATGGCACCCACGAAACAAGAACAGAAGGCTTTGGAAAAGGGATAATCACAGAATAAGAGGTCTTAAAAATTAAAAATATGATAGCTCAGAGGCACCTGGGTGGCTGAGTCAGTTAAGCACCTGACTCTTTCTCGGGTGGTGGGGTAGGAGGGAGAGCGCAAGCCGGGGAGGGGTAGAGAGAGGGGGACAGAGGATCTGAAGCGGGCTTTGTGCTGACAGCAGTGAGCCTGACGCGGGGCTCGAACTCACGAACCGTGAGATCATGACCTGAGCCGAAATCGGACGCTCAACCAACTGAGCCACCCTGGTGCCCCTAAGCATCTGACTCTTGATCTCAGCTCAGGTCTTGATCTTACGGTCATAAGATGAAGCCCCTCCCTGGGCTTACAAAAAAATGTGATAGCTGATGTGAAAAAGTTGAGTCAAAGGTTGGGGAAGATAAAAGTTGAGGAACTCTTCAGAAAAGCCGAATATAAAGACAAAGAGGTGGGAAAGACAAGAGAAAAGATGAGCAACAGAATCAGCAGCGTCCCCCAATGTTAGCAAGAAAGAACAGAGACGAATAGTGGAAGAAATTACCAAAAGGAGTTTTCAGACTACAAAACTAGGTCTTCAGGCTGAAAATATTCACACAGCGCTCAGCAAAACGAATGGAGAAAGGACCACACAAAAAGGTCCATCATCCCAGCATTTTAAGGCATGAAGATAAAGACACACTCCTAAAAGTTCACATCAAGGGGAGAGGAAAAAAACAGAAAGAAAGAAAGAAGAAAGAAAAGACGACAAAAGAAAGAAAAAGAAAAACCCAATTTCTCATAAGGAACGCTGGATACTACAGAACAATGAAGAAAACTGTATTTGAAATTCTGTGCCAGGGCGCCTGGGTGACTCAGTCGGTTGAGCGTCCAACTTCGGCTCAGCTCATGATCTCACAGTTCGTGGTTCAAGCCCCGCGTCGGGCTCTGTGCTGACAGTTCGGAGCCTGGAGCCTGCTTCAGATTCTGTGTCTCCCTCTCTCTCTGCCCCTCCCTCGCTTGCACTCGGTCTCGATCTCTCTCAAAAATAAATAAACATTAAAAAAGAAATTTAGGGGCGCCTGGGTGGCGCAGTCGGTTAAGCGTCCGACTTCAGCCAGGTCACGATCTCGCGGTCAGTGAGTTCGAGCCCCGCGTCGGGCTCTGGGCTGATGGCTCAGAGCCTGGAGCCTGTTTCCGATTCTGTGTCTCCCTCTCTCTCTGCCCCTCCCCCGTTCATGCTCTCTCTCTGTCCCAAAATAAATAAACGTTGAAAAAAAAAAAAAAGAAATTTAAACCAAAAGTCTGGGGGCTCCTGAGTAGCTCAAGCGGTTGAGCATCCAACTCTTGATTTCAGCTCAGGTCACGATCTCATGGTTCGTGGGACTGAGCCCCATGCGTGGGCTCCATGCCGACAGTGTGGAGCCTACTTGGGATTCTCTCTCTCCCCTCTCTCTGCCCCTCCTCTGCTCACTTGCTCACAGTGAGTGAGTGAGTGAATGAATGAATGAGTGAATGAATGAATGAATGAAAAACACATGTCCATAGTGTGTTATCAAAAGTTTGGCTCTCAGGGCACCTGGGTGGCTCAGTCGGTTAAACGTCTGACTTCGGCTCGGATCGTGACCTCGCAGTTTGTGAGTTCGAGCCCCACACTGGGCTCTCTGCTGTCAGTACAGAGCCTGCTTTGGATCCTCCGCTCCCCTTTCTCTCTGTCCCTCCACCGCTTGTGCTCGCTCGCTCTCTCTCTCAAAAATAAATAAGTGTTAAAAAAAAAAATTGGATCTCTGCGGGTGTTTCTAGTCTTAGAGAAAACTGCTACTAAGTGGGGTGTGTCAAATTTTACTTTCGGGGCGGGGGTGGGATTTCTCTTCCTCGAAAGCAATACCATCTCGCAGACCGTAATAGCCCTTGCCGAGAAATCGCCTGTCGGCTTTCACAGGATAGGGCTCTCCAAAGCGTAACCCCAAATGGGACTCACCTTCCCCACTACGCCAGCCTCTCGACCTTGCTGTTCTCCATGACACACGTGCTCCCAGGCTCTGGGACTCTCACCATGCCATCCTCCCCCACGTCGTGAGGTACAGGCCTGCAGTAGCTGCTGCAGCCCCACCACGTGTGGGGCCCTGGGCTTGGACACTAACTAAGCCAGGACCAGCCATCCACCCTTCCTCGTTCACGGAAACCCCATTCTTTCAAACTCCCTTCTCTCATTCAGCCCTCTCTCCCTGCCCGAAATGCCCTTGCTCCCCAACGCCACCTACTAACGCTCTGCTGTCCATTCAGAGGAGGTCAAATGCCACCTCCTTCAGGAAGTCTCCTGTGATTTCCTCCTGCTTCCGCCACAAGGTCTCCCTCCTCCAAACCCTAAAAGTCCTAATAGCTTTCCCAAGCTCTCATCTGCCACAGTTCCTTGTGCACCAGACGATAAGACCCTTGAGGACAAGGATTCGTTGTTTCTCTGTGCATCTTCCTTCCAGCTCGGGGTCGCTCAGATGGTGGGCGGAGAAAAAAGAATGATTACAAATGAAAACAAGACTCCTGGACTCTTACGTCGCCTTCCTAAAGGACATTCCCACGCGTAACGAAACAGAAGAAAACATGAAGCTTACCTTCCAGTTGCTGCATTGTCCTTTGAATATTATTTGCAAATTTCTGGATGTTCATTAAAAATTCATCCCGTATTAACTGCATGCTGTGATACGTTTCCCCGGGCACACTAGGGAGCCCCGCTTCATACTCGGAAGAGTCCGAGATTTTCTCGGACGCAAATCCCGTGGCCGCATCCTTGTGCTGATTGAAGGACAGAGCTGGCATGAAAACCTGAAACGTCAAGTTTATGAGACGAATCAATGTCATGTCCAATAACTCATGCACTTCCGCGGCCCCCGGCTTCGAATGTTCTGTGAGAGGCGGCACAGATAATGGCAACAAAGTGGAGAGAACTCGAGCCCAGAGCACAGACCTAAAGACAGAGAAATGTTGTTTGACCTAACACGACCCCAGGAGGAGAGCGTGACCCAAGCGCGAGGTGACTGTCCAGATCAGCATACTGTATTTCTTTAGGTCACCGGCCACACAAACAGCTGAAGAGTCAGTCAGCTCAGGGTCAAGCTAGTTCATGTGGAGGTTAAAATAGGGAGGGGGAGGGGGCGCCTGGGTGGCTCAGCTGGTTGAGGATCGGACTTCAGCTCAGGTCATGATCTCACTGTTGGTGAGTTCGAGTCCCGCTTCGGGTGAACATGAGCCCCACTATTCTCTCTCTCTCTCTCTCTCTCTCTCTGCCCCTTGTGGGATTCTCTCTCTCTCTCCCTGTCTCTCTGCCCCTCGCTCACTTGTGCCCTCCCTCATCCATTTAAATGCCTGTGGGTCAGTTGGATGGTTGGTTGGTTGAGTTTTGGTTTGGGCTTGTAGCTCTGCCTTTTCTTCTTAAACTTTGGTCCATCGTTGAGGACGATGTACATGCACTTCCGATTTACTGAAGAACCCAGGATGTTTGACCTGCGGATTCCCAGTCTGGGTTCTGCTGACTGCACACTCCCAGTGACACTCACTGTGTCCCCGTGCGCTCCGTATCTCCCACTGGGTCCAGACCCTCCGTCAGAATCCCTCTACCAAGACTAACGGCAGTGCTCAGGAGACAATGTCTGGTTTTCTCTCCTTTCGGATGGTAGCGTCCGCTTGTTCGATGACAAGATCCGTGAACCTCTGGGAGCCACACAACCGAAATAGTCTCATCCTAACACTTCTTTATTTTATAGCTGAAATGCTTTTATAAAGAGACGCTTCTCTCATCTACTACTTAACTACCCAGTGCATTTCATGTAGAAGAGGCAGAATAAACACCTGGACCCTTTATTTGCCCAGTTTTCAAAATGGTAAACGGGTGCCGTGTCACCCTGCCCCTAGCGCTCCCCCTCCCCCCATCCCCTCCTCCAGCGGCCTCTCCCTTGGTTGCTTCTATCCAGCCCCTTGGCCTCGCACCATCGCCACACTCTGGCTGGCACGTGGATAAAGTAACATAGGGGTGAGGGCAGCGGCCAGGGTCTATCAGGAGCCAAGTGCAATGGTCTCGGTAAAAAATGCTATTGAGGTGTTCCTGGCCACCCGGCCTAAAACTTCAAAACCCTCACCTTTACCACCTGCCAGTATTTCTTACCCCCTTCCCAACCTCGTCTTTCTTAACTCCCATCACTATTGAGCACGCTACCTTTCACCTTTGAACAACGCAAGGGTGAGGATGCCAACGCCCCCTCCATGCAGTTGAAAATCCACGTATTTTGGCGCCTGGGTGGCTCAGTCGGTTAAGCGTCCGACTTCAGCTCAGGTCACGATCTCGCGGTCCGTGAGTTCAAGCCCTGCGTCGGGCTCTGTGCTGACAGCCCAGAGCCTGGAGCCTGCTTCCGATTCTGTGTCTCCCTCTCTCTCTCTGCCCCTCCCCTGTTCATGCTCTCTCTGTGTCTCAAAAATAAATAAAACGTTAAAAAAAAAATTTTTTTTAAATAAAAATAAAAATAAAAAAAAGAAAATCCACGTATGACGTTTGACTCTCTAAATCTTAACTACTAAGAGCAGCCTGTTGACGGAAGCCTTGCCGATAACATCACCTGTCGATTAACACTTATCAGTATGTTCCATGTGTTATATACGGTATGCTTAACAATAAAGTAAGCTAGAAGAGGGGCGCCTGGGTGGCTGAGTCGGTTGAGCTTCCGACTTCAACTCAGGTCATGATCTCACGATCTGTGAGTTCAAGCCCCGCGTCGGGCTCTGTGCTGACGGCTCGGAGCCTGGAGCCTGCTTCTGATTCTGTGTCTCCCTCTCTCTCTGCCCCTCCCCCACTCATGCCCCGTCTCTGTCTCTGTCTCTCTCTCTGTCCAAAATAAATAAATGTTAAAAAATTTTAAAGCTCGAGGAAAAACTGTTATTGAGAAGGAAAATACATTTACAACACTATACCGTATTTATTGGAAAAAATCCACGTAGAAGTGGACCCGTGTGGTTCAAATCATGCTGTTCAAGGCTCAACCGAACAGATTCTCTCACAGATCCTGTTTAATGTAAGCCTTCCTGACTAGAACGAGCACTCCGTGAGGCAGATCTCGGCCGAGTTGTTCGCTCAGTGGAATACGGTAGGTGCTCAATAAATATTTTCCGGAGGAATGCCCTGAGTTCTCCCTGAGCCCCTCACACCTCAGCTCAAATGTCCGGAGAGTTCTTGGCTTTCCCTCCAGATTGGTTTCTATCCTCACCCATCTCCCTAGTGACCCGCCCGGCTGCTCACCCCCAACCGAACCCTAGGGAGTCCCTCGTGACTCTCCATTTTCCAAAACCTCCATACCCAAGTCACCAGCAAGCCCCATTGGCCCTCTCCCCAGCAAAACAGATTCTTGACACGGCCTGCCTCCCACTCCCTCCCCTGATTGAACTCCAGTCTAGACAACCATCCCCCTCCACAGACACTTCCACGGACTCCAACTGGTCCACTCTTGCCTTCGGCCCTCACCCTCGCTCCCACAGTACGATTTCCACACAACAGCCAGAGGAACGATGCCAACCAGATCATGTTATTCCCCTGCTGAAAACCTACCCTCCTTTCCAACTTTCCTCACTACTCTCTAGCTGCACAGGCCCTCCCTCTGTTCCTGGACCAGGCTATGTCTGCTCCTGCCTCAGGACCTTTGCATAAGCTATCTTCCCTGCCCAGGATGCTCTTCCCCCCAGATCTTCACAGGTCTGACCCCCTTCACCTGATTCAGCCCTCAATTCAATGCCATGCCCTCAAAGGGGCCTTTCCTGACCACCTCAACCCCACCCTATCACACTTCCCTAATGACACTTCCGTAACAACTTGTCATTAGAATAGCCTGCTCGTGAGATTCTTTTTTTATTGTTTGCCTATCAGACATCGCCTCCTCAGTGAGGCCATCCCTTACCACCACTCCCTGCACACACACACAGTCCATTTCTATCACATTACTAGGGTTCATTTCACTCATGCCACTTGTCAATGTCTGATATTTTCCAGTTTATGAATCTGTGTTTCGTGTCCTTCCCCAGAATAAGCTCCTGGAGCACAGAGACCTAGTCCGTGCTCCTCGCCGCTCTGCCACCAGGGCCCACGGAGGCACCCGCTGGATATTCATTACTTGTGGAGTAAATGAATCAAATGGCCTTAGTCTTACAAAATGCTGAGGTCCCTTCCCTTTGTCCACAGTTACCTGACATATGATATTCTTCAGAAGATGAAGCACGTTAGTGTTGATAATTCCATACTCCAGGGTCTCGGGCATGATCTCCATGGCTTCCTTCATGTTGGTAGCTTCAGAGATCATCTCTGTGTGGGAACAGATTCAGAGGGTGAGACGCGTGGGGAAGTGGCAGGCAGTGAACCTTCCAAGTGTATCTGGACCTTCCAAGGAATCTGCTCCTTCTTCCCGAGGAGCTACCAACGAATGTTCCGGGCACAGGCTCAACATGATGCTAATGTCTGTGCAAACGACTCCCTCGGCCGCTGACACATCAAAAGAAACCCTACACGTTGTGGTTCACAGAGCTGCACAGACTGGAGGATCTGGCTGGAGTTGTCTGAAGTCAGACAAGAATAGAAACAGTAGCATTTTCTGGAAATATTTGCTGGGTTCCTTGCTCTCCCTGGGTCCCCACTCCCAGCGATGCCTCCCCAGTTCATCACCAGAGTCCTTTTTGAGTCATGGGTATTTATTTAATGTTCATTTACTTTTTGAGAGACAGAGAGAAAGCAAGCTGGGGAGGAGCAGAGAGAGAGGGAGACACAGAATCCGAAGCAGGCTCCAGGCTCTGAGCTGTCAGCACAGAGCCCCACGTGGGGCTCGAACTCATGAACCATGAGATCATGACCTGAGCTGAAGTCGGATGCTCAGCCGACTGAGACACCCAGGCGCCCGAGTCATGGGTATTTTTTTCTTATTTTTTTTTAATTTTCTTAATGTTTACTTATTTTTGAGAGAGAGAGAGAGAGAGCGCGCGCGCGCTGGGGAAGAGGCAGAAGGAAGGAGACACAGACTCCAAAGCAGGCTCCAGGCTCTGAGCTGCCAGCACAGAACCTGATGCGGGGCTCGAATTCACAAGCCTTGAGGTCATGACCTGAGCCGAAGTCGGACGCTTAACTGACTGAGCCACCCAGGCGCCCCAGAGTCACAGGTATTTTTAAAGACAGATTTGGTAACAGCCTATTCTCCAACCGTGTTTTATTTTACATGTCTTTACTCCACCTGCACGGTACACATTTTGAAGGTCACTTGGGCCCATCCCTCAATCTAACCGGGAAACACCGCAGATACACCAACCAAGGCAGTTACCTCACTGGCTTTGGTCCCACAGCTGTGTAGACATTCTCTCCTTAATACGCTTCTTTACAGCAAACTCTTCTTTACTTAAGTAAATTTATTTTAAGGGGAAAGAACCTAAGAACCCAGAGCAGAGGAGAAAGAGAGGCTGATCTTGACAGAAGAGAAACGGCGAGACACAAAGACGACGAGAAGGCCCAGTGATGAAATCCGAGGAGACGCGGCTGCTGCCCGGCTGGCGGCCTATGCGCCGTGGCAGGTGCTGTCCTGGAGGAGAGCACTGAGCAGGGATGAGGGGGCACGAGCCTCTACAAGCTGTCTTCCCTACTTCTGGTTCCCGCCTACGTGGGCAGAGTCACCCGGCAGGGAGGCCCCGACCCAAAACGCCATCAAAGTTCAGAAGAGATAAAAAGAACGCAACATAATGCTTGTTCTAGGATTTACGGGGAGTCGTGAAAACGTAGCTACGTATGCGCAGCCTCCGTGGAGGCGAAGGCGGAAGAAATGGGGGAACGTGCAGGCAGGAAGCATGGGCAGTCAGCCCGAATCGAATGAGGCAAGAGGAGGAGCCAGGGGTCAGAAGAGACACGAGAGTGACAACCACTGGGGGGACGGGGGTGTCACCAGAAGCACCCAGGTGGCACCCAGGATGGACGAGGGCAGCAGGAATGCACAGAGGGAACATCCCGCCCGGAAGTCACCCTGCGGGATGAACGTGGCCTCCAAGCAGCCCCTCGGCTTTAAATCACACAGCCCACGTGGACAAAGCCCCAAAGCTCTTCTTATAACTCAGGGCCACAACAGTTTGCATCTCCCTTTAATTGTTACAAAAGAACTAAGAATGTATTTATACAGTCAACTCTCATTTGTGGGAGTTCTGTTCTGTGAGGTCACCTCCAACAAGGAATTAGCGAATACTGAACCACTGCTCCTACAGGACATATGAGGTCAGGTTTCTGCAGCCTCTGGTCACATTTTTTTAAGGTGATTTACTTATTTTGAGAGAGAGAAAAATGCAAGTGGGGGAGGGGAAGAGAGAGAGGGAGAGAGAGAGAGGATCCTAAGCAGGCTCTGCACTGTCAGCACAGAGCCTGATGCGGGGCTCGAACTCATGAACTGTGAGATCATGACCTGAAACAAAGTTGGATGCTTAACCGACTGAGCCACCCAGGTGCCCCTCTGGTCATGTTTCTTTCCTCCCTCCCTCTCTTCCTCACCCCTTCCCTTTCTTTCTTCTTTCCTCCTTTCTTTCTTGAAAGATTGAGAGAGAGAGAGAGAGAGAGAGAGAGAGAGCCCATGCAATTGCGGGAGAGAGACAATCCCAAGCAGGCACAGGGCTTGATCCCAGGACCCCAGGATCATGACCTGAGCCGAAATCAAGAGTCAGACACTCAACCGACCGAAACACCCAGGCACTCCTCCGGTCACATCTTTATCAGCCATCAACACGTAACCTTGCTTTATGTGCGTTTCTGTGTAAAGATACCTTATTTAGGGGTACCTGGCTGGCTCAGTCGGTTAAGCGTCCAACTCTTGGTTTCAGCCCAGATCATGATTTTGTGGTTCATGAGTCCAAGCCCTGCATCAGGCTCTGTGCTGACGGTGCAGAGCCTGCTTGGGATTCTCTCTCTCTGCCCCTCCTCTGCTCATGTTCTCTCCCTCCCTCCCTCTCTC